TCCTGCAGATGAAAACTCTTCAGCAATTTACTGCTTGTAGCTGGATAAACACTTTACCAGAAATGTTTCTGCTCAAACACACTCACTCCTGTGAGAAACAGATTAGGAATTTAGGAAACAAGTGGTTTGACCTGTGCAGCAAACCTGTGAACTGCATTCTTTTTTCCCAGTGTTCATTATAAAAACCCCAGTGTAGCCAAAACTGCTGCAAATTAGTTTGTGGTGCTGTTGGCAGCAGTTTTGTGCTAAAAATTGGTTTTTGCTTTGTATTTCCTTGCTCATGATTTACACATATACATCACATTTGTCCAAGCTGACAGCAAAATATGGACAGAGAAATGAATATATAAATTCTGTTCAACAGATGCCATTTATTAATTTTCTTCTGTGAATTATGCAATTTTAAATGCTGGTCTTAGTTTAATTTGTTTCCATGAAAATTTGTCTTACCAGTGTATCATTTAGATACCAATTTGGGGGTTTCTGTATTGAAAAAGATTTTTTTTATCTGTGGAACACTGTGTTTCATTTATATTGAACTGTAAGCTGTATCTGTACTACAAGTTAAATGCTGCTGCTTTTACAGAAATGGCCACGTGATAACTGTGAAGGATTTTTCTCCAGGCAAAGAAATCAAGTAGTTGATGGAGAATAAAAGCTCTTAAAGCCCCTGTCCCAAAGAGGACAGCTGATAATAATTGGTGATTTTTAGAAAGGGAGGGGAAGGCTGTGTGTGATGGATGTGAATGCTTATTTAGCCTTTCCTGGACATCAAGGAAGTGCTGGGACACTTAATTATTTATAATACTCAACTAGCTCCATCATAGGATTATGGCAGAAGTTAGCTGTTTTATCCCAGGTTTTGCTTGGTGTGCATTTATTGCTCAGAGCCTTTTGCTGATCTCCTGGTTTCTTTTTAGCAGGTTTGCATAAATACAGGATTTCTGTGTGATAAAAACACTGTGATTAGCCCTGAAGAAAAGCTGCATTTGGGGCATTAATAAAGGAAGGCACATTTCAGCTTAAGATGATTGACTGATAGAATTTTCCTCTTAAAATTTAACTCTTGGGTGTGAGTTTTCGTAGCTGTTCTGCACTTTCAGAATAACAAATATTATTTTTGGCAATCTAGTCTTACTTTCTGCATAACAATAGAAGCCATGGAATGAAACTGTGACATTGATTTCCCCTGCAACTGCAGCATCTTGTTTTTGAGGTTGGTGTGTTTTGTTGTTGCTCCTAAGGGCATGTTGTACATAGGATATCAACATTTGTTGTCTGTTTTGACAGGTTTTATTGGGAAAGTATTTGGTGCACTGAGAATAAAAAAAATTCCCTTTGGTTTTGTGACCTTTCAACCCCAAAGGGAGGACGAGTGTTTTGCAGCCTTGCCACAAGCAGGTGTGGAGGAGAGGCTGTCAGCAGAAGATTTAATACCTGAAAGCAGGTTAAGGGTTAAGATGTACCCCTTGATTTTTTAAAAAGCTGATTTGGACATGGATGTGAACTAAGTTTGAAATGTGGAATAACAGAGTGGATCAGTGAGGTGTCGTCAGCAGTGTTGGGACGAGCTCTCGTTATTATTTATCTTTATTGATCTGGAGTTTTACCTCAGTAAATTTGGAGCTAACACTACTTTGGAGTTCTGGATAACACTAAATGCTCTGCAGAGGCTCTGGGCAGGCTGGATCCATGGGATGAGGCCAGTGGGGTCAGGGACAACCAGGGGAGGTGCTGGGTCCTGCCCTTGGGTCACAACAACCCCTGCAGCTCCAGGCAAGGTTTAAACTGGATATTAGGAAAAGTTCCTTCACTGAAGGGGTGGAATGGGCTGCCTAGGGAAGTGGTGGAATTATTATCCCGGTGAGTGTTCAGCAAAACCTGTGGATGTGGCAGCTGGGGACATGGTTTGTGGTCAGCGTGGTGGTGCTGGGTCAGTGGTTGCACTCACTGCATCATCCTTTCCAACCTTAAAAATTGTGGGATTCTATGAGTTGGCATTGTAGTTTTAAAGATACTTTTGAATACCCAATAATTGGCAGTAAAGAGGCAGGGCTCGGTTCTGCTTGCAAGGAAAATGCTTCTTTAATTAACCAGTTCTGTGTTAAATGAGGCGCCATCTCACAAAAAGTAACAAGTAAAGATATTTAATTCTTAACAGGTTGGGTTTTTCTGTTTGTTTCAAAAGGAGAGCTTCTTTAGCTCTCTTAGTGCACAAGTCTGTCCCAGAATCTGTTCTCAAACCTCTTTCTGATGGTTCCCATTGCATCAAAGGCCAGTTGCATTTATTGGCTCTGGGTCCCTTTATGCAGAGCTGTCACTTTGCCCTGTGTGACTTTGTACTGGTGCAAAGCTGGTTTAAATAAATGAAATGTAAATGACATTTTGAGGTCTCAGTCAGGCAGAGCTGTTCAGCTGAGTAACGGAAAAAAAAACCCCAAACAACACCAAAAACTGAAGTATCTTCAATAACTGCTTCTGTTGTGACTTCCTTCCAGCTGAACAGAAAACTGGGGTATTTCTAAATCTTCATGTAATGTGATAGGCAAGTCCTGCAGGGGAAAGACTATATATATAAAAAAGTAAAACTTCCTCATTTTGCATTACACTCATCACACTGAATCAGAACAGGCTGCTTTTATCATTTGCAACCTAAAATACTGGCTCAAATACTGTTGAATGCTGTTCCTTACATGTAACTTCTTATCTGGAGAAGGACTGTAAATTACAAGGTCAGCTGCATGAGAAGAAAGCATAGAGTTGCTGAGAGAGAAGTTGAGTGGCATTTTAAAAACATAAAAAAATGGTCACTCATTCTGTCATTAATTATGTTCTTTAATTTTGTTTTTTTTCTAAGGAGAGCATAACAAAGGTGTCATTGTACTGCCAGGAGCTTTGCTGGCTGTGGCTTCTGCTGTGGTTAATTTTGGCTTTTCACTTTTATTCAGACAGAAATGGGTGTTGCTGCTGTTGTAGAAAATATTCTGTAATAACCTGTTTTTAATAATCTGCTGTAATAACCCAGTTTTTTGTGGAATTTTGGGGTTGGTGTGGCATCAATTCGTGGAAGAAAAATTAGCTCCCATCTGGGAGATCCTTCTGTCTGTAAATCTTCAGAGCAGCAGTGGGATTAAGAAGTAATATCTCTCACCTCCCAGTTCTTGCGTTTTAGGAAAAACAAGGAAGAATACAAGTATGGTGTTTGTTTTTTTTTTTTCCCATGGTTTTAATGCAATGGTAAGTGTCTGACTGGATTTTTTCTGCCACTCTTTTTTTTTCCTCAAGAAAAACCATGGGACACTGCTGTGACTTCACCAGACAGGTCTGCTGTGCTGCTGCATCAAGCACAGGAACTGGGTTAGTGATGTGTGTGCTAAACTGGACCATGCTTTTAATCTGTCTGCTTCAATACGCCTTCTTCAGTAAAGATGTCTTCACACACAAAAAAAAAAAACAACCCAAGAAACAAATTTAAAAAAAAGGCTTTTAATCTGTCTGCTTCAATACGCCTTCTTCAGTAAAGATGTCTTCACAAAAAAAAAAAACAAACCCAAAAAAACCCCAAAAAAACAAAACAAAACAAAACAAACAAACAAACAAACAAAAAAAAAACAAAAAAAAAACAAAAACAAAAAAAAACCCCAACAAATTTAAAAAAAATTGAAATAGCACAGATGAGCTGGGCCAAGCCATGGTGCTGATCTCTGTGCACAGACCTTGCAGCTTCACTTGAATAAATGTTTCCCTGAATGTTTTGCCTCTTAATTCTCTATCACGCTGATTTTTGGTTTCATGAGGCAAAGCCAACAATAGCACTCACTAAGAATAACAATTCTCAAAGAATTTGAGCACAGTAATAAAGTTCTGAATCAACCTTACCTAAAGTTGTGTTGTAGGCATTAAAACACTGACAGCATCCTGACCCAGCTAGATTTGCTTTATTTCTTTGCCCCTGGCCAGCAGATATTTCTTTTAAAATCTGGAATTCTGCTTAAGTGCATGTTCAGTCTTCATTACAAATAATTATTTACCATTGGGAAGAGGTATAAAAATGAAATAAAATAAAGCATTACAGGCTGTTGCAGAGATTGTGATATCTTCAGATACTTGTTTAGTTTTCCCAGGAAGAGAAGCAGTTATTCACAGGCAAATATGAGCAACCCCAGCCTTGTCAGGCTGATGAGTACAGATCTGCAGGTTCATGACATTCCTGCCCGCCTTGGCTCGTTGTGTAAGTGCCTTTCTGTTGGAATGAGGCTGTTATTGCTTTATATCCCCATGATTCTCCTATCCCCATGACTGACAGTCACAAAGAACATTGTTAAACAACGTGCTCACAGCTAGACTGGTCCACAGACAGAATAAAGAAATTTAACAGGTCTGGCTTTGTGTACTAAGATTTTTCACCCCCACAGAGCACACACAAAACATCAAATAACTTCTTGTCTGGTGGTAAATACCCATAATACCTTGAACTTTATGAATAACAAATTATTAGCCTTGCTGCTACATCTTCCTTTTGATTTCCTGCAGATTTTGGAAAACAAAGCACATGATGGTACTGCCATCCATGCACAATTCTAAGAAATTCATCTGTTCTGAGGGGCTCTGTATCGATTTCTAATTCCAACAGCATTCAGTAATGAGATTTTGTGTATTTATTTAAAATAAGTGTGTCTCTTCTGGGAGTGAAGAATTGCTGAATGAATTAGGCACAAAACCAAGGGGAAGCAGATAAAGTCACCCAGGAATAAGGTCTGATTATTCAATCTGGTCACCATAGAAGACTGTGTATTAAATATTTTAGTGGGTTTTTTTTGGTCTCAGTGCTACTATAAGAGGTCAGGGTTTGCACACACTCCTTCTGGGAGTGAAGAATTGCTGAATGAATTAGGCACAAAACCAAGGGGAAGCAGATAAAGTCACCCAGGAATAAGGTCTGATTTTACACTCCAAATTCAATTCGGTCACCATAGAAGACTGTGTCTTAAATATTTTAATTTTTTTTTTTTTTGTCTCAGTGCTACCATAAGAGGTCAGGGTTTGCACACACTTTGCCAAATCCTACCTGTCAAGCTGGAGTTTCTGCTGCTTTAAAATAATGCTGCTCTTCATGCAAGATGAGTCCCTGCTTCCTAAAACTTATCTGATGATCTCATTCATTATGTATGCAGATCTTTCCCTATACAAAAGTAAGCTGCAGAGTTGAATTCAGCCTGGTATAAATGCAGGATATGTTGGCTAAGTTTGAATTCACACCAGCAGAATGTGCACTTTACTGAAGAATGTGGTGCTTCTTTATGGAAAAGTACAATATCTTTTTTTTTTTTTTTCCTGAGTGCTATGTACTATAATACTTTTGACAGGAAGATTATTGCAATTTGTGTAATTTTTCTCTTGCGCATGCTAGAGTCATAACTGAAGAATCTTCCTGTCAGATCTTCCCTGCCAAATAGGAAACGGGTAATACAATTTTCTAATCACTTTGTAGCATTTAAATAATGTGCCAATTTTTAGAGCTCATTATACACAGATTTTAATAATCAAAACATTGGTATAATGGACCTGCAGATAAAATCAAATGAGGAAATGCCATTGCTGTGCTTTAGGAAGCAGAAATAAATATTGGTTACTGTCCAGCTGCCTAAAGAAACAGCACTGTAGGAACAAGAAACCATAAAAACAAAGCACTTTTAAAACCTGTTTTGCATTGTTAATTACCATAGTTTAATACTTTAAACAATAAAAAAGTTTGCATCACTCGATGACGCAACAATTAACATATTTGCAGAATCCATAGGGTCCCTGCTCACTAAACACGTTTGGCAGCTTAGCAGATGCCACAGATGTGCCACAGATGACTGCAGCATCCACCACTTGAACTCTGACTGTGATTTATCCCTCTGCAGTCAGTCCGTAAATCCAAATTGCACATTCCTGGGTGCTGGACGCTGCCCGACCCCGACGGGTCTGAGGAGGAAAAAAACAAAACCAAAACCACCTTTAGTGTGCAGCTGCACCCCCAAATCACACGATTGTCTCCTTGGAGCTCCTTTTGAGGGGCTGCAGGCCCAGCAGGGACTGCTGGGTGCAGGGGACGTTGGCAGATTTTGGGATGAGGAGCATCACCCGCTGATTGTTCCGACGCCACTCGTGGTACAGCCGGCAGTGGTACCTGAAGGACACCTGGGGACAGAAGGGACAGAGCTGCCTTCAGTCACTGCCACCCTGCAAGGGCTCAGCTGGGGCTCCAGATGCCTCCCAGTGCCACAAAATGGGGGAGAACTGGTGAAAAGAGAGACCCACCATGGTTGTGTTCGAGGGTCCCAGGACGAGGGAAGAGAGGAGAATCTTGACTCCAGGTTTCAGAAGGCTGATTCATTATGTTATGACATTATATTAAAATTCTATACTAAAACTATACTAAAAGTAATAGAAAGGATCCATCAGAAGGCTGGAAAGGACAGGAGAGGAATGATAACAAAAGCTCCTGACTCTCAGAGTCCGATGCATCTCTGATTTGTTATTAAGTAGAAACAACTCACATGGACCAAAGATGCACCTGTTGGTAAACAAAGTCCAGGCCACATTCCACAGCCATCAGATATTAATTGTTTACATTTCTTTTCTGAGGTGTCTCAGCTAGAATTGGAGAAAAATCCTAGCAAAAGGATATTTCATAAAATATCAAGGTGACAACCCACCATGCCCCGAGGTGCCGCAGCAGAGGAGGAAAGCAGAAGCCATCAAATAGTTATTTGTTTACATTTCTTTTCCGAGGCTTCTCAGCTAGAATAGGAGAAAAATCCTAGCAAAAGGATATTTCGTAAAATATCATGGTGACAACCCACCATGCCCCGAGGTGCCACAGCAGAGGAGAAAAACAGCCTGTGACTACTTCACCTCCCATTCCCCTTTTTCCACAGCCTGAAAAATCAGACCTCCTGCTTCTGCCTTTCTCAAGAGCTGTTGGCACACATGAAGTGAGAATTTGGGATATCCTCTCTTGCTTCAGGCTGCTAAATTGACAGAGTGCAACTGCAGGCAGATAACACAGGTGTGTTCTACCTTGTAATATTTTACTGCTGAATGCACCAAAGTTGGGCTTGCACAGAGTCAATGAGCTGACAGCGTGTGTGTCTCAATTTATATTGTGTCTGGAAAGTATTGTTGTTGTTACCAGGTAATTCCAACCTTTGTGTGGAAGAGAAATGTGTGATTGTTGTGGAGATGCAAGATAGCCCGGCCTCAGGTTTTTAAGAAATACTTCACAACTTGTTTTAGTGGCAGACAAGCATTGTGAGAGTTGCAGCTGTCTAAGAGGATGTGTATATGCAGTTCAAAAAAACAAACAAAAAAAAGAAATAAAAATAAAAACTAATAAAAAACTGTAAATTCTTAGAGAAATCTGCCAAATGATGATGGTTTTCTTCTTGAGCTGTGGGCATGAGTTGACCCATGCACCATACTGCAAAAATAACTAAAGAACTAAAGAAATGTACCTTTCAATAATATCCTAAAATGGCTAAAAAGTCCTTTTTTATTTTTTTAAATTAGATCTTTTTGCAGCTGTCTGAGAGAAACCTACAAATCTTTGGTTCATTAATCAATTTTTAACAAAGACAGCTCTTCAGATTGATTCCCCCAACTTTCAGCCTCCTCTCCTCCCCCTGAAGGAAGGCATCCTGCATCTTCTGTTCCTGTGGAGCAGGGTGTATGAAGGAATATGAGAAATCCCTTCTCAAAAGACACTGCAGGAGCAGCAGGAATCACTTGCAGTAGTGAGGAGGGTGAGAACTCCCCGACACCTGCAAAGGTGGATGCCCTGCAAAATGCAGTGGCAGCTTCAGGAGAGTGAGCTGGAGTTCAGGTTGGGTTTTCCAGCAGCACAACATGAGGTCCTTTGAGCAATATCTGCATTGTTAAACTGGGTATGTGTGTTATACAAGAGAGAGCAAAGTGTGGCCCTGAATCCTTAGTTTAAGTAACAATCCCATTTTTGAGTCTGGAGCTTTCTTCTTGGGAGGACCAGGTGCCTTTTTTGGCGGGAGTGTGTGTTAAAAATACAGAGTAAAAAGCAACAGTGTTTTTTGGAGAATTTGTCTGCTTTAGAGGGAGGGATAAAACAGCTTCTGGGGTGCTAAAAATATCATCCCTGCTGCTCCCTGCTCACTGGGATAACTGTGTGTAAATAATCTGTATGCCAGCCCTTGCCTCCGGAGAAGGAAGGCTGATTTACTGGAAGTAAAACAAAGTTTTAGCTCTCTTCATTTCCCCAGGACCTAAAGGAATGGTGTATCATCTCGTGTGTCATTTGCCCCGCAGCACTGAACCTATTCCCTGCACAGCCATGGCTGTGCCACAGGATTCTCCCACTCCCAAGGTGACAAGGCACGTGAAGAATTCTGTGGAATTAACACTTCTCTGTGTGTGGGACCATTCCTTCCTGCATGACAAGGGGAGCCTGGAGCCCTCCCCCAGGCAAATCCAGGCTGGGGTTTTCCTACATCACTGAAAGGAAAATTATTTTGCCTCCCAGCCTCAATAATTTGGTGATTCACTCCCCTAAAAACCTTCCTGCCTTGCCCTTCTCAAGTGAGCACAGTGCTGCCTTAGCCCATCCATCTCCTTCTGCCCCAAATAACAATTTAAAATGGAATTACAGCTGTCCACAACTGAGAGAGCATCAGAGATACTGAATATCTATTAAATCAACCAAGGTATACATTTATATCACTAGCATGTTCTCCAAGAGCCAACAGCACATTTCCCTGTGTGCTTTAGGAGGAGTAAAAATTATAAAGTGAATATAAGGGATTTTTGCCTCTTACTCTGCAAATGCAACACCCAGGGATAAGGACCAATGTTGGGATGCTGCAGCAGTCTTAATAAGCAAGATTGTGCCATAGCTAATTAAATCCACCTGAAAAATGCCTTTTACCACTTCTGACGGTTTGGTGATGGTGAATTAAGTGTGCCAGGTAAATTGTCCAGCATTTTGGTTTCTAAGAGAGCCAAACACAAAGGAAATTTGAACAATATTTGCTTGCATACCTGCCAGGCACATCTACACCCAGCACTGCAGGAAAAACAAATGTAGCCTCACTGCTGGAGTACACAGCCCGTCTCAGGAGAGTGCTGCTGCCTCACAGAAAAGCAGAAAACAACAAAAAAGATGAACTGCACGAGGCTGAGGCAAAACTCTGAGCTTTCCCTCCTGCCTGCACTCCTCCGGGGGTGAGGCAGGGCTCCCAAATGTGCAAATGAGATTTCCCTTTCACAGCTTTCCTGGAGATACTCGTGAGGAAGTGTGGGGTTTTTGTGCTCCACCCACACCCCCTTTTCCTCAGGGCTCAGCACAGGGGGGTTTCTTGCTCCACCAATGCAGCTTTTTAAAAGTGCCACCTCCTCAGCAGCTCACACGGGCACAAATGTGCTGGAAGGGGTCTTGGGAAGGATGGAAGTTTGACAAGAAAGTCTCACAGATATGTATGCTTAGCAGAAAGATTTTGAACGTAGAAGCTGAAGAAGGAATAGAGATGGAAGCAAGTTTTGATATAGAAGAACAGAATTGCTGAGCCAGTCTTACTGGATAGCCAAGGAGGCAAAGGGTATGTTAGTTAGAAGGGGGTTTTTATGACTTAGAACAAAGAATAAACCCACCTCAAACAAGAAGATGTTTTTACCAAGCAGAAAGATAGCACAGGCAAACAAGTCAGCAGATGTTGCAAGTAGAAAAAAGGTCTCAGAATTTTCCACTGCATGAAAACTGAAAAACTCCTAGCTTAATCTGTAATGTACTAACTTTTAGTGATAGGAGAATAGAGACATGAATATGGTAATTGTAGTAGTTATGATAGGCTGTAGGTAAAAGTAAAGGTATAGATTGGTTCTACTGTATTAAGGTGCTCAGCAAAGAAAAGCATCTTAATACAGTATTAAGATTTGCATTGTACAGTATTTTATGCAGTATTTGGAGACTCAAAATTAAAGGGTCTCCAGGCCTGCCTGCAGCTGTAGGCACAGGCTCTGTCGCCCACGACCCTGGACTGCTGTAACAGCTTGGATGCAATAAACTGCATTTTGGAAGAGCCACCTGGAGTCCTGCATCTCTTATTTAGGCTCTTACATCTGGGCTAGAAAGAAAACTGAAAAACTCCTAGCTTAAACTGTAATGTACTAACATTTAGTGATTGGAGAATAGAGACATGAATATGGTAATTGTAGTAGTTATGATAGGCTGTAGGTAAAAGTAAAGGTATAGATTGGTTCTACTGTATTAAGGTGCTCAGCAAAGAAAAGCATCTTAATACAGTATTAAGATTTGCATTGTACAGTATTTTATGCAGTATTTGGAGACTCAAAATTAAAGGGTCTCCAGGCCTGCCTGCAGCTGTAGGCACAGGCTCTGTCGCCCACGACCCTGGACTGCTGTAACACCTTGGATGCAATAAACTGCATTTTGAAGAGCTGCCTGGAATCCTGCATCCCTCATTCAGGCTCTTATATCTAGGCTAGGGTATGGCCATAGCCAGTGAGGGGCAGAGCTGTGTGCTGGCCATGCCATGGGCAGGTTGGGCTTTTCCTGCCCCAGCAGCACAGCCTGGCACCGTCTGAGCACCCACCCCACTCTTCCCACTCCACAAAAAGAGCTGACAAGTGTCAAGCACAGTATTAACCTGGGCTTTTCCCTGTGCAGCTTACACAACGGCCTGATAAACACCCTTTTTGGCAGCTGCCCCCTGTGTTCCTCTCATTTCTGCTGGGCCAGCTCCCTGTCAGTGCACTGGGGCCAGTAAATTATCTCAGCTCAGCAACTTGACACAGAGCAAGTGGCTCTCAGGATGGACTGGCATGACTCGTGCTGGGGTGCAGGATGCAATTTAACCTGCCCTGGAAAAGCACCTCTGTCTTTACAGACCTGGGCACGTGTGTGTTTACCATACTTTTGAATTGTAAAATTGGCAAGATGTTGGATTACAATGAAACCTGAATCCTCTGTGGCAGCCAAGTTGTTTACCTAGATAGTTTTTTTGTGTGTGTGCTGTGCCTTCATCCTTTGCACATCACATTTGGTGAAACTCCCTCCTGTAGTGTGGATTCTTTGGGGTTTTTTTGCTAAGGTTGGGATTAAATGTGTGAGACGGTATTTTTTTTTGGAATCATATATTTATTACTTTTTATCTATATAGCACTCACAAACTGTGAGTTCTATAGTACTTCCCCCTAGCAAACTAAAAATTGAGCTGTCTCTCTCTCCTTACAAGGTTTTTTTAAGGATAAACTGTCTAATTAAGAAATTACATTCAAATTGTTTTTACTTTTAACTTAATAACTACTTGTGGCCCGCAATGTGGATTTTTTTATCTGATTACACAATACTACCTAAACTCATGAGGAAAATTAAGAAGAAGGACTACTCTCCACCCTAAAATCTCTATCTGGTTTTATATATATTACTATATTCTAAACCTTAAACTCTAATTCCCACCATGTGATATTACATTCTTCTGTTCAAACCACACACTCACAATCTTAGTTCTGTCATTCAATTTTGGAAGCCTTGGGATTTGAGAACCCTTACCCCAAAGCAAGCTGTCTTTCTGGAAAATACACAAAACTCCTGGTGTCCCAGGGAGCTTGAATGGTGTGGAAACTAGAGGATTCTTGCAGGTACAGTTTGTACTCACCAGCACAGGAGGCAAACAGAAGAAAAGCCCTGTGCAATGACCCACAGCGCCGCGTGCGATCAATTTCCCCGCTCACTCTTTCCCTTTCCCCCCGTGATTTAAATAAAATCCCTGACACTTACCAGGGTCCAAAAGAGGTAAATAGTGAAGAGTGCCACAGTGAGTGCAATGAGGCCAACAGCTTCCAGCCTACTGCTAAAGTGCAGGTGGTCCACGGCTCCTCGCAGGCACAGCCAGCCGGAGACGGTCGCCAGCGGGGTGATGAACAAGAAGCACACCATGTCCCCAAAGAGAGTCCTCTTCTCGTGCTGGGGGCCCGGGTTCCTCAGCCACTGCAGGCACAACACAGCCACGTCAGGGGTCAGCACAGGGAGGAGGTTTTGCCCTCAGCTCAAAGCACAAACCCACCCCTTCGAGGGCTGGACGTGCCGGACGCGGCTTTCGGTGTCCCCCCCCGTATGCCTCTCATGGATCTGTAGATTTTTCATTTACAGCTCTATGCATTATGATTATATTATTATTATTATTATTATTATTATCATTATTATTATCATTATTGTTGTTGTTGCTGTTACTATATACATTTAATGTACAGCTCTACAGTTCCTAGTGCTTTTCTATAGCTCCTCCAGAACCTTACACTAATATTTGCACCAAAAGCTTTGAAAGCAAATCAAGTGGCATCAAATTTGATGCCCTGCCCTCCTGAAACCCCAAGAATTAGAATTTCTGTGGTCTGTGAAACTGGGTTTTTATGTTAATTCTAAATACATGGGAAGAAACCAGCCTAAAACTTTTTAAATGTTTCCCCCCGTCACCCCGTGTAAAAGAATCAAAACTTTTGGTACAATTACACTTCTGGCAGTCTTTCCAAATACAGTAATGTGGTTGCCATCAGAAATGCTTTCAATTTATAAAGATTAAGCCTGAGCCTTTCAGTGGCAGGAGTTTTTAGCTGAAAGATTCTTTTCAGAATAGGTGTGTATGTGACAATTGTATTAATCACGATACCTTTCAATATGTGCATAGGTTAATTAATAAGGCCATTAAAGGGGTGATTTTGGTTGAAAAGGAAGGGGAAAATGGTGGGAGACACAAGACAGATGATGGGCTTTGGACGTGGTTAACATAAGAGATTTCATAACATCATGCCTTGGCAAAAGAAAATGAAACTTTGAGGACTGCAAGAAGATTCAATCAGACAGGTTTACCAGAAAAAGAAAATTACACCAGGCCTCTGCAAGGAAGAGATGTTTAAAATGCATAAGTTTGTTTATGTGTTCCTTAACCCAGTCATTGTATTACACATTACTAGTCTCCCTGAAACAGAATATAAGTGTTTGGATTCTGATCACTGAATCTGTCTTCCCCGTCTCTCTTCATCCCCAACACTCTTCCTGCCCTCTCTCACATTTCAGAATAAAAAGCCAATCCTTTATGACAGGCTCTTGGAATTCTGCTTAGGCTCACTCTCAAGAAGAGAACTTCTAACCAGGAAATCTTGTTTTTCACCACAAAACATAGAGCCAACCATCTGGACCATCTCCAAGGGGCAGACCCCAGGGCAACAAGTCTCTTATTGCATGTGCTTGCTAAATACACTAATTAATCAAGCTTATTAAAATTGTATAAATCCTGTATCACTCACTTGCATACCTACACTTTGTGTACCTGAAAACTTTCATTAAAGAACTGCTTTTTACCTTACCTGAATTTCTCCCCCTTGCTTCCTGCTGGTGTCCACCTTTATCTGAACCCACCATATAATTTATTCAGCTGTGGTAAAGGCTGCCTTGAAAAGTGTTTTATGTAGTGCTTCCCCTAACATTTGCCCACTGGCTTCTTTGAAAAACTCCCTTCTTAATGTGTAAACGTGCAGAAAATATTTTAACATTTTCCATGCTATTTTAGGAATTTTTTCTGGTTTTTTTTTTTTACATTCCGCTCATAACATTCAGAAAGCCATTTTCAACTTGTTTTCAGATACCCCCACATTTAAGCAGAGTTCAATGCACACAAGGTTATTTTTATTAAAAGGGTATTAATCTTGAGAAACACAGTGCCTGAAACTCAGCTGCTGAAGCAAAGGTTAGGGTTAAACAGCTATCAAGCCCACACACCCACATTTCTATAAGCAGGATTTGAGATAGCAGAGGTGAAAGAAGTTCCTACAGCAGTACATTGAGGTCTTCGGATTAAAAAAACAAGCGCCCCGCCCGCCGCGATCCCGATTTGGGGGATTTTCCCGCCCGAAATTCGCTTTTTTTGGGGTTTTTTTCCTTCTTTTTTTGGGATTTTTTTTGGTTTTTTTTTTTTTTTTTTAACATTCCGCTCATAACATTCACAAAGTCATTTTCAACTTGTTTTCAGATACCCCCACATTTAAGCAGAGTTCAATGCACACAAGGTTATTTTTATTAAAAGGGTATTAATCTTGAGAAACACAGTGCCTGAAACTCAGCTGCTGAAGCAAAGGTTAGGGTTAAACAGCTATCAAGCCCACACACCCACATTTCTATAAGCAGGATTTGAGATAGCAGAGGTGAAAGAAGTTCCTACAGCAGTACATTGAGGTCTTTGGATTAAAAAAAACAAAATAAATTAAACCAAACTTCATCGCACGAGTCAATATTTGAACAGGAAAACTACCCAGCCCTGTACTTTTTGCCAGTGTGAGCCGTAGGGTTTGGTCAAACCTGTTCTGCAGCATCCTTTTATGGGTTTTTGGGGCCAGTAGAACCAGATGAGGCTCATGCATCCCTAAACACTTCAGTCCTCTTATTTCTTTAAGTGTGTTACACATTGCCAGTAGAAATTCTGTCTCATGGACAACAAAAAATACGTTCATAAATTTTTATTTTTTTTTCAGGATGTAGGCTTTTAACTTGCTTGAGTACTTCTGAAATGCCACAGAAGTGCAAAGCAATTTAAACCAGCTACACATTACTGTGAGCAAGAAGTTGCAAGGGAAGATGCCAATTAAAGAAGGAGGCTCAAAACTGGTTTTTTTCATCTCCTTAACCAGGAAAGACAGTAACCAGCTGTGGTCAGTCTACCCCAAGAAGCAGCTGAGCCCCAACACAGACATTTCCTCACCCCTCCACCCCATCAGTGTGAGGGGGAGAACAGCAATGGGCTGCAAGCAGAGTTTTCTTCAGCAGAGCTTGTGCAAAATAAGGGGACATACATTTACATTTTGACATCTTTTTATTTTACTGTGGCTTTAAAGAGAATGATAAAAAGCGAGCAGAAGTCTCACACTGCTTTCCTTGGAGGTTTCTATCAATTTACTTAAAAACAGCCCTGAGGGTTTGTGCACAACATTTCCAGGTTGTATCTGGTTGCTTCTGAAAAGACTGATTGCAGCTATTCCCCTTGTTTTCCATTTCCAGGAGTTCTTGCAATGTGAAACCACCAAAAATCGAGAGGAGCTGAAAGCACCTGATAGCAGAGATTGTGCTTTTAAAGTTTTTAAAGGCTGCAAAAAACAGAGGTTTTGTGAAAAGGACTTGTTTGAAAGGTGACCTGTAAGAGAAACACCGGGCATTTGTACACTTCTCCTTGACCTCAACAGGAATTGCAGGTGCTCACCACTTTCCCAGGGCAGACTTCAAAATTTTGGCACCCGTGCCACTCAGGTAGTGCAAGAAATAATTCCCAGTTCAGAGCCAGGAGGAAAGAACATCAGGAATGCAGGGGAGGGAGCACGCCTGTCAAGGCATGTGCTGCTGTCCCCACCCTGTGACTGTCACTACACACAGTGCAGGGCACCTGAATCAAGGCAGCATTTTTCACTGTGCCATCAAAACTGAGAGTTTGAGCAGATTAAAGTGGCGTGGAGCTGATGGCTCCCTGCTCCTGATGCCCTGTGGCACACGAACAGAGAGCCAAACCCAAGCAATTCAAATATTAGATGGGGCTGTGACAGGCAAGAGTAGTATTAAATAATAAATAAAGCCATCACAATTCTACAGTCTAACCTCAAAAAGCCAGAAGGATTTCTGAAGAGCTCTGAAGTATAAGTCAAAAGCAGAGATTAAGCAATTTCAGTGGTTGTACAGATTTCAGTCACATTATTTTTCTCCTGAAGCAGTGCACACCTGCTTCCAAATCTGCCTCTGTTTCTACGTTTCAGCCATTTGTTTTGGGAGTGGAATGGGCACTGTCAAGTTTCTTTAGGGCTAAAAAGCTAAGTCAGCAGATCCTTTTGTGCAGCTCATGCCCACACAGGGATCCTAACAAAGCCCCGAGCTGATTAATTACTGTGGCAGTATGGTATGGACTGCCCTGCTGGCCAAGAACGAGATGTAAGGCCAGATGAAGCTGTCAGATCTGCACTGTGGCACCCTGAAACCCGTCCTGTTAAAATGTGTCTATGTGCCCAATTATTTCTGCAACAAATCCAGACTCTCAGAGTGGTAATTTCCATTTAGGAGAGCAGGGGAAGGAAGAAAAAAGGAGGTATAAAAAGGGTCATGTTTGATGTAAAAGCATGGCCTGCCTGGCTATTTGTGAAGTGAAAACTTAAAGTTATCAGTGTTCCCTGTTCCCGATCCACAGGCAACTGGAGCTGGAGTAGCAAGACAAAAATTACTTCAGCAATGGCAGCAAAAATTATATTTCAAGAATTTTAAGCACAGCGCCTGATGCAAAACCCAACCTTGGCTCATGACTGAGACAAGCCAAGAAACCCTTTGAGACTCCAGCACCTCAGAGAGATGGGGGTTAACATTTATCTCAACAAAGTCACTCTCTAAATGCATCTTGAGGAAAGCCAGAAGGGAAAACTGAAGAAGACCATCAGTGAAGTAAAAGTGCTACTTAAGGCGGGGGACAAGGTTGGGTTAAGAACAGATGGATAATTGTTGTCCCCAAAAAATTTAGGATAAGAATCAGAAAAAGAAATCCTCATCCTTCAGAGGATCCTTCAGGCTCCTGTAGGAGCCTCCCAAGAAGAGCAGCTCAGGCTAAAGCCCTTGAAACCTGACAGAGTTCTGAGAAGGAACTGGATTGCAAACTGAGATTTTTGATGTACTGCATTCAACTTGACAAAACACTGTGAGCACACCTGGGGCTCCTCCACCCCACACACAGAAAGATTTGCTGCAGCCACTTCAACAAGCAGAGTTGAAATTGGAGGAGGAAATCACTGGAGCAAGCCGCAGCCAAGGACCAGAACCCCTGGAGAGGCTGAGACTCCCTGAATTTATCTGTTCTAACCCAAAATGAGCTGCCAGCAGAGCGCTGCTGTGAAACACCTCCACGACTCTGGGCTGCCTCACCACTGCCAAAGGCCAAATCCTGGAATCTCTGCAGGTCTAACTTCAATTAG